CTGGCTGGTCCCCTGCATGCCAGCACATGGCAGAACGATTGGCCCTGCCATCCGTGTGGGCTGGCGCAGTGTTCCCTCTAATTTTTCCCCCACACGTGTGCGGAATGAATTTTGGTATGTGCACCAATATAGTGGGACACATCACCTCCATATGGGTGCACATAATATTCATGTGGTGGGGGTGGGGCCGAAGGGTTCGGAGTGTGGGGGCTCAGGGCTGGGGTAGAGGATTGGGGTGCAGGGGTGTGTGTGAGGGCTCGGGGGTGGGGCCAGAGATGAAGGGCTCAGGGCTGGGGTGCAGGAGGTGAGGGCTCTGGCTGGGGGTATAGGCTCTCGGTTGGGGTGCAGGCTGCCCCAGCTCTCTCTCCCCGCAGCAGCACCTGGGTGGGGGTGGGGGGTGGGGGTCAGGGGAATGCACCAGCTCCCAGGAGAACTTGGAAAGGAAGAGTCCAGCCACGGATGTGAATAATACTTGCAAGACCCCAACCCTTCAATCCCAGCATCCTGGGTGTGTAGGCATGGACTGCGTTCGGCCGTAACTCACAGACTAAAGCACCACGCGCCTGGGCAAGTCATCGGTAGCAGGGATCGAACCTGGGCCTGCTCAACAGCAATGTTAGCCAGACCTTTAGGACAGAGCATGTCTTGAGTGAGCCGGGCTTACACCCCACGGATCCACTGCCCCTAGCCACAGCAGCCCTGGGATTTCCTGGCAGACCCCTCACAGGCCAGAGCCATCCCTGCTGTGTAACTCCACCAGGGAATTGGCGTGACCCAGCGCTGCCTCAGGGAACTCAGCCGGCCCGCTCCGAGTCAGCCAGACCACCCTGCACCCAGAAGAGGTGAAATATGACAGCTCTGGCTGCCAGCTGGGCTTGAGGGGGCTTCACCCCTCCCATGGCTGCCTATTGGAGATGACCAGACCTTGGCCTTCTTCTTCTTCTTCTTCTTCTTCCCAAAGCAGACCATGGAAAGTGGCTCCTCGGTGGCCTTCTCCCCTTTCCCGGATGCCCCCTCGACTTCCTGGTGGCCTTTGCCCTTCCCCTTGGTGGCTTTGGCAGCACCCGAGACCTGGGTGCCCGTCGCCTTCCTCAGAGCTGCCTGGCCACCAGCCTCGCCAGCACCTTCTTGAAGCGGCGCTTGTTTCTGCCCATTGCCATGGCGTGGCCTCCGTCCTCAAGGGCCTCCTGGATGGTTGCCAGGGGAACGGGCGGCTTGGAGTTCGCCACGGCCGTCAGGATGGCCTGGGAGAGGCTGGGACACGTCGGTTTGTGCTGCCTGGGGAGCTTTGGCCTGCAAGCCCCAGCTCCGTCAGAGGAAACGGAGCAAGGCTCCTTGCCAGAGGCGCGGTGGCTGGTCATTTTGCTCCTTGACTGAGTGTCCGCTGCCCCTGCTGGCTGGTCTCAGGGTCTGTCTGGGCTTGAGGGACCATCGCCAACCCTGAAACGTTGTTCTGGGTGTTGGCCCCGTTCGCGATCACTGCAGCTCGTCAGCGTTGCTCAGGGAAGCTGCTGGTTGGTTTCTCGCTCCCACCGTTTGGTCCCGTGCCTCCTGGCTGGGTAGGGCCCCCAGCTCGGCTGCTGCCTTCTCTCCGGGCCTGGTTCCCCAGGGGAGCCCTCGGTCCCGGCTGCTCTCGGCAGGCAGGCGATGGGCAGGGTGTGGCTAGCAGGGAGCTGCACAGCAGTTGCCACCCCAGCCTATGAACCCGGTAACCACGGCGGCCCAGCTGGTGATGTCAGACCGTAAGTAACCTCATAGCCCGGCCTCACTGGATGGGTTCCCCATGGGGTGCTTTAGAGGGTGGAGGGACGTGTCGATTTCACCCACCCACATGTTGATTTCAGTCACCTCCGCCCTGATCCTCCTCGGCATGCCTGAGCGTGGGAGCGTCCGTCCACGTTCAGCTCTGTGCTGCGGGAACGTTGGAGGGGGGGCGGATCCTTGGAGACCCGAGGACTCCCCATCCCCTACTTCAGCTCCACTCACTCTCCCAAAGTGACCTGGTCTCGGGGCAGGGTCCCCACCTTGGGATACAATTGCTCCGAGCGTCCCCCAGCGGCTGTACTCCGAGGGATGAGAAATCGGATCTTTCCCTTCAGCCCCATCCAAGGAGTTAGAGCTATTCCGGTCTCTATAGGTTCCCCTGCTGCCCTCATCCCTGCAGTATACGAGCACCTTCCAGTCGGGCATTCAGCAACGTAGCCAACATCTGTCATGGGAGGATCGTGTCCTCTCCCCTGGGGGAGGAGGGTTTGGGCAATGGAGGGATCTGTTTTTGTAGGGTTGGGTCTTTGAAACGTGGGGGAAGGTGGGTGGGAGCAGCGCTCCCCAGCTTCCGCTCCAAATCCCAGGTCGCTTGGGATGGGCCTTAGCTCCTGGGGGAGTTCGTTCCACAGACTGGGACCAGGCCCTGTCAAACGCCATCTGCCCCTTTGGCTTGATCTGACCCCCTCCTCCCCTGGGTGTTCAAAGAAGAGAGATGCCCGAGCCCATCTAGCGACTCCGTTCCACCTGGTTTCTGTGATCAGCTCTGTGGGCTGAGTCTGGAGCATGTGCCCCAGGTTGGTCTCCCATCCCCACGTAGGTGTGACTAGAGGCTACTTAGTTCAGAGCCTTGCAAAGGCCCCAGGCCCAGGAACACAGGTTCCATTCCACCCCCACCCTCTTCCTTTCTCCAGGGCTTCAGGTGCTTTCCCACCCTTCATCTCTTCTGCCAGAGGCCGAGCCTGGCCGCGGGAGCGCTGACGTGCAATCTTATATTCATGGCAGTGCTACACCCCCTGGCTTTGGAGGGTCTCCCTCCCACTTTGATTGGCTGCTGCCCAGCGTCCTGGCTCCCTGGGAAGACCCCTCAGCACCAGCCTTCCTCTTTCTGCCAGGCTTCTGCTCTGCTCCCAGCCTTGGGGGGCCTCCCTCTTTTCTTGGGCTTGCAGAGAAAGGTCAGAGTGCTTCCTGGGGTGGTCACGGCCTCCAGAACGAGCTTGGAGACACCTTGACTTGGTAGCTTGGAAAGGTTGGCACCAGCTTGCTGGCTGGAGAGTCTAGAACCTGATGGCTTGGGCTGCTCGGAGAGCCTAGAACAGGGGTTCTCAAACTGGGGGTCAGGAGCCCTCAGGGGGTCATGAGGTTATTACATGGGGGGGGAGGTTGCAAGCTGTCAGCCTCCACCCCAAACCCTGCTTTGCCTCCAGCATTTATAATGGTGTTAAACATATAAAAGTGTTTTTAATTTATAACGGGGGGGGGTTGCACTCAGAGGCTTGCTATGTCAAAGGGGTCACCAGTACGATAGTTTGAGAACCACTGGCCTAGAACCCAATGGCCTGGGCTGGTTGTGGAGCCTAGAACCTGATGCTTGTGTGGATTAGAGAAGCCGGAAGATGATGGATTGGAAGTACGAGTATTCTCAAGTATCTCTGAATCTGAATTAACCAAGGATCCAGGGTGACTGAATCAGAGGAGGGAACCTGGGACGACTCGTATCATAACAGTCCTTTTGCTTGTTGAGGGCACTCTTGAAGGCCAGATGTAGCTGGTAACCATAGGAGCCGTGGTTGGCGCATTGTGATGTCATAAGAACCCTGTGATGTGTGTGCGCGCGCGTAGCCTTAGATCAGATTTCCCCATGTTGGATGGAGGCTTGTTAACACATTAACAGAAAACATCCCCCTGTCCCGGGCACCTCCTGAAGCCCTGACAGATCACTCCACCTAGCTGCCATCTCTGGGGTGGCACATGACAGCGGTTTACAATCATGTAGCTTTGCTGAGTGCCATTAAAGGGAGGGGAGAAAAACCCTGTACCCACTGAACATGCAAGAGGAACTTTGAGGATTATAGATTTATTCCGCCTCCCTAATTTGGACTCGGGAGAGCACAGACAGCTTGACTTGTGCCACGAGACCTTGACTGGCTCGAAGCCCGGTTTCCCTTCTCATCTGAAAGAGGAG